TGCCCTCCTTCGCGAGTATCATGATGTTTTTCCCTCATCTGTCTCCTACAACAGTATTCCTCCTATACGGGATCTCGAGCGCCACATCCAGCTCAAGCCCAACTATCGCATTCAAAATCATGCCCTATATCGCCTTTCGGTTCCCGAAACCCAAAAACTCAAGCGTGAACTTGAGAAGTTTCTTCGTCGGGGCTTCATTTAACCGAGTACTTCATCATGGAGTGCCCCTGTCCTCTGCGATCGCAAGAAGGACGACACCCTTCGTCTCTGCATTGACAATCGTGGTCTCAACCACTACACGGTTAAAAACAATTATCCCATGCCCCACGTGGACGATCTGTTTGATCACCTCGCTGACCACCACTTCTTCACGAAGATATCCACGTAGTTGAGAAGGATCAACTGAAGACAACGTTTCGTTCTCGTTTCGGGCAGTACGAGTTTACCGTCATGCCTTTTGGTCTCCATAATCCTTCTGCCACTTTACAAACGACTATGAATACTGTGCTGCCCAGACCCCAACCCTACCGCTCCCTTCTGCAGATGATCTGCTATCTGCCTGTGTGTTGAAATATTTCGATTATTTTCGCTCTTTGCTCTGGCAGTCCCTGCCTATGACCTCCTTGTTGACCCCCAAGACCGGGAATGGAGCCACCCTCTTCGATGCCAAGACTGAGTGTCACTTTATCCGTATACTGCTAAGCTGGGATACCAACTTGCCCATGAAGAATGTGATGTTTTTTTGTTAGTGGCGAAGCATTGGATGACTTTGAGTTGGGTGACAAATTTTGTAATCGGCTTGGCACAAATCCTCCCATGACATTGCAAGATGCTTATGGACATCCCAGTGGTAAAACAATCTGGACTTTTGTGGTTAATTGCTAATCACGTATTTTTCATTGCGGCTTAGTGTGCCCGAAGAACCATGGTCTGAATTGGGTTGGAGTGCCCGAACTATGCAAAAAAACTGCAAGTTGTTAGGAAAAAAAAACAAAAACAAAAGCAACTGATCGGATCTCTGTAAAAAAAAAATAAAAAATAAAATTCTCTCAGCCAATCTAAACAAGCATGCGATTGGGAATATCTAGTGTGAGGTTGCAGCTGAGAGTCACTGTTCTCCTAAAGTGCCAAATGAGCCTAAATCCTTCACTGAAATATGAAAAAATGCATTTTTTTTCTATCGGTCTTTAATGGATGGGGAATAGTGGAGCGAGACCCTTAATCTACCCGTCTGCCCGCCGTGAGGGGCGGACCTCTAACAATACTGAAAGGTGTTTTCTCACTGTTTTTGCCCGTCTAGTGGTGGACATAACTGTTTTTTTTTTTTTTTTTGCAATGCTTCGATTTTTCAATTTTTTTTTTTCATGACCTGCACTAGACTGCGCAGTGAATGGATGCTGCCTATTTGCGATTTTCCTTGGGCCCAACAACTTCCTCCTTCATCGCACGACCGGACCTTCCCGACCCATGAAAGTTGCAACACGTTAATGGGTAAGGCCTGTGGTCAATGTATGACCGAAGTACCCGTGACACATTGGATATACAATCTCCCTTGTACACGATTTATATTTTTAGTGTTTGGTAGATATCACATATAGTAAGGTTTGCGATTATCCTTTCTTTGTGACTTTTTGTTACGACTTTGTTGTTTGGAGTGAGAACTGGTAAAAATCCGCACTGGCTTGTGGTGAACTTTACTTTTGTTTTTTTTGTGTCTTCTGTAAATAACTATGATTCGTGCTTGTTGTGAATAGCAACATTTCGCTTCCCTTCCAGGTAACTTTGGTCCCTGAAACCAAACCTGACCGATGATGCCTCATTCTCCTTCAAGGCCTATATTCACTTTTGTAAGGGACGCCGGGCCGATTCCCGAGTTATATAATACAAAAAGGACTTTTTCATTTAAAAAATGAAAAAAGTTGTTTATATTGCAATGTCTTATAACTTTCATTTTTTCCAAACTTTTGGAGTTTTTTCAAAAACTGAAATTTGCAAAAATTTGAGTACAATGTACGCATGTTGTATTCAAATACAACGTACGTACGTTCTATTCGAAAAAAATCAATGACTTTGAAGAACCCATTTTTTTGAGGTAAGTTGAATAAAACAATTGTACGTTTTTTCCGTCTCTGCTCCATTCACGACCAGTATGGTTCCACTTTTGAACACCCTCTCCTAAGGCCGAGGTCTCTCGTTCGAATGTGTGCTTGCACGGTAGAAGGCCTTAGGCCCATACTTACTATTATACAAGTCGGGAAATGGGTCCGATGTCCGTCGCAAAACAGTGTGCGGCTCCTGCAACGAACTGCCTTCTTACCAAAAAAAAGTGTACGTACTTTGTATACGAATACAACGTACGTGGTACATTGTGGGTACGTTGTATTCGAATACAAAATACAACGTACGTACATTATATAACGAGTTTTATGGCATAATTTTTAAGAAGCCATTAATACCGTGATTGTTTTTTTTTTTATCTCGAATTTGGTTGGGAATTTCACCAGGGTAAAAGTTGTTTGTATTGAAATTTTATACAATATATTTTTTTCGGATTTTTTAATGAAGTTTTTTTTAAATCATAATTCTAAAAAAATCAGCAAATAGAATGTCCCTGTCGTAAAGAATATTTTTATCCTCATTTTTATTTTATTCTTAGATTTGGTTGTGAATTTCAATAAGACCCTCACACAAAAGTTGTCTGTATTTTTCCCAGGCCCCCTTCCTGATACAGTTGTTGCTCCAGGACTAGGGGAGGGAAGGATCTTCCCCCTGTCAAGATCAGTTCGAGTTCTGCTTCCTAGTGACTCACAACTGAAAAATTTGCAGTCGATGTCGATAGTAACGGAACCCCAATTGTCCACTAATCCAAGTACCAGTCCGTTACCTGTGCAAACTTATGTTCCAGCCCACACAACAACCGCAGACCCGTCCATAGCAGTTGTCACCCTTGTGCACCAGGCATTTCCAGGACGGACAGGGGCAGATACAACCAGTGCAGCGGGAGTTTGTCGTCCCCCCACCTTTTGCAAGATCCCCCCCACGCCAGCCGCGGATCTTTCAGAGGAATCTGAGGAATCCACTGACGAGGAACACCCTTCCAAGGAAAAAAAAGGCAGAACACTGTCGTCGGGCAGATACCGAAGAACCAAAAAGTCTAGCAATTATAGTACGACGCAAGGGCCTAACAAACACCAGGGTTCCAAATACTTGGTCCCCTCATCTGCAGGAAAACCCCAGAGGGCATACAATTTTTGACGTACAGCATGGGCACCAACATAAAACTGGTTACCCCATGCTCTGTGGACAGTAACCCAACGCAAGCTATCATGTTGTCCAAGGTAAGAAACTACTTGGGCATGAACGCCCCGATACGATCTATCCCTGACATGAGGTCTAGAAGGATAACGAGAACGGGTAAAAATAACAACAAGGTACAACTGTTTGTAGCCCCCTTCGACGTCCGACCTAGTGAAAACGACATGTTACACCTATCCCTCAACAAGGCAGTTTGGTGTCCTCTTGAATGGGTGAAGGATGAAAATATCCTTCACGCATAAATGATGTACACAACAAAAGGGATTTATGGGGATTTGTTGTTGGAATACAACCAGCAGCTACCCACTGATTACAATCTCTTTTCATATCATTTTGACAAGTTGTTGTTCTCCCCCTGACACGGCAAAGGGGACTCAGGGGATGACAGGAAGAGGAAAACCGTTGGGTTGCCCAAACTCGGAGTCCGACACTCCACATTCCCCCCCCCCTCTCTCTCTCTCTCTCTCTCTCTCTCTCTCTCTCTCTCTCTCTCTCTCT